CGAACTGTCCTAACCTATAATTAGTGGACACAACCAACACATCATGTGTGGCCAAAATTAAGCCATCATACAATGGGCTTTCATAAATTGATCCGTTTATAAACCCTCCGCCATATATCCAAAACATGATGGGTTTGAGCTGTGATTTGTTTGTGTTATTATTGCCCGCATTTGGTGTCCATATGTTTAATACCAAACAGTCTTCACTTAAGGGCGAATGATTTATAAATTTTGTTTGTATACAAGAATTGCCCGGTTTTGTGGCATCAATAATGTCCTAGATCACATTATTTTCATATCATAATTTTAATATTTAACTATAAAAATAAATATATATTTAATTATTACTTACCTTTAGGGGTTGTTTGAGTGGTACGGGCGGTGCAAATCTCAGATCACCGACGGGAGGCTCAGCAAACGGTATATTCAAATACTGGTCAACAGTTTTGTTGAGCACCTGTAGTGTCAGACCTCTCACAACACCCGAGGTTGTTTTTACATCAATACTATTTACAGTTAATATTTGAATAATACAAACTAATATAATTAAATATATTTTATATTTTAAATACATTTTTATTTTATTTTTCCAAAATACGGTAAATTTTGTCTGCGGTAAATACGGTAATTCTGAATTTATATTACAGTAACTTAATTAAATACTTAACATCAAATTGTAGTTTATTCTATAAGGTCACAACTTGACATTACATCCAGATAAAACTTTTATATAATTACATACAGGTTTAAGCCCATAAATACGGTATAATGATAAGTGCATAGAATTGCAACATTATTTGTACTATTATAACAAAAGGAGCAAAATCATGACGCTTGATTGAACACTTTATCATGTTTACTTATCCAGTACTTACACTGTAAGAGAGAGAGAGAGAGAGAGAGAGAGAGAGAGAGAGAGATATTCACAATTTTTACTTACGAATTTCTACTTACTTGTTATACTTTCTAACTCGTTTTGACCATATCCTTGACCAACTAGGCAAACAAAATAAAATTATTATAATGTTATTTTTTCAAACAATTAATACATTTATTGCAAATTATTGCAAATAAACACAATTAACAGTTTGCTAATTATAATATTAAAACTTTTATATAGGAGTTTAAGCATATAAAATAATTGTCTATCACAATAATAATATCAGTACTAATATTTATACTGACAGATAATAATATAATATATTTATTTTACAATCATATTTTGTTATAGACTAAATATTACATAATTAAATAAAAATAATATAAGGCAAATATTTAACATGTTATATGGAATTTAATTGTAACATTATTTATAAATAGTACTTATAAATATAATAATTTCAACGTGTTATTGTTATTTCAACAATACTTCAAAGTTTTATTTAAATAGACGTAAAAATAATAATGTATTAATTATCATGTAAAATGTTTTACATGTTATAATTATTACAATATGTAAATATGTAAAAAAAATTGAGTATGATAGACTGTAAAATAAATACAAATATTAATTATTTAATAAATATGGTAACGTTACATAGAAATATTGGAAACATAATGGGTGGGATCCAAATTATGTTTTGTAATTAAAAATGATTAAAAAAAATATGTTACAGTGAATATATTATGATAAATGCCTGGTCAAATTATATTAATGTAGTGTATTTATACTTATAATGTAGTTGCTAATATTTCTTTTTAGCGTAATAAATACTGACTCCAAATACTAAACCAGCTAGATGATAACCAAATATTGAGCCCAATATTACATATGACCAATACCAGTTATCGCATATAAACTTGTCAATTTTGTCCACACAACCCTCTTGGTAGAGTTGAGTTAATAATAACCCTGGAGAAATACCATGGTAATTATCGCGCCTACATTTGTTAAGTTCTTGATTGATGCAACATGATTTTGGTATTTGCGGCAAATGAACTAGTTAATAATAATATAATTNTGGTAGAGTTGAGTTAATAATAACCCTGGAGAAATACCATGGTAATTATCGCGCCTACATTTGATAAGTTCTTGATTGATGCAACATGATTTTGGTATTTGCGGCAAATGAACTAGTTAATAATAATATAATTAAAATAATTACTAAACTTCATAATAATTTAATATTACAATGTCTATAGTGGTCAGGACTAGTTTGCTTCCAGGTTATATAGTGAGGGTCATATTTCTTTTTAAAGCTATCTGATAGCCAATCCGATGGTCCAGACTCTCCGCAACATTGAAAATATGTTTGTATTGAATCCACAAATTCAGTAACTTTACCAGGATCTTTGTGCGAGTTTATCACCTTTATCTCACTTTTATCTCCTAGCTCAAATTTGATTGACTGAGGTTGTTTGTGAATTACCCAAAGCAACGATAATCCAAGTATAATCGTCACCGTAAAGCACCTTATACAATACTAAACATGATAACAGTAAAAATTAATTTATGTAATTAATAAACATTATTAATTTATGTGATAAATTATGTTATATAAAAATTAATTAATTGGAATGGTGCTCTTTAACAAACATATAATTTTAATAACAACGTTTATATGGGTTTTAGTTATAATTGTAAAAACTAATATTATAATTTATAAAATTATAACTTACCGTGGTTAAATATTTGACAGATTTTCTGGTAGCACCATAACAGCCGATACAACCGGTAGTTGCAATCAAAGTGCCTGTTATTAGCACCATGCCAATTATTGCCAAATATTTAACATTGCATACCACAATTACCCCGTTGTTTAAATACAACCACCATAAATTGCCAGTAACGACCAATATTGTCCCACCAGTCAGTGTTAATATTAAATTATAAAAAATAAATATTATTTTGACTACTGATAACATTTTTCTGTAATATAACTTGTGTCTTGGTTGTTATTTAATTGAATGTGCTTTTATGGCACTGAATTGTC